ATATGTTTAACGGAAATGGAATCATTGGTCAGCCAGCAAAATTTGAGTTCCTCCTACAACGACTCTTAGATATTACAAATTATTGCTTAGTTAAGGTTGTCCTTGTTTAGAAACTACTTAGGACGCGGTCACATAATTGGCGGTTGAGCGGTGGGTGGCTGAGCTACGAGTTTGAGTGGTATGTGGCTTTTTAATAAGCGGCATTTCTGAGCAGTTCATTGTCAAAATGTCGTTGTCAAGAGCAGTTTTTTTATTGTTTTTAAGTGAAAATCGCATTCATATTGGTAAAAAGTACAATATTTGAAAAAAAAAGGGAATTCCTATTATATTTCATCCTACAGATCGAGAAAGACCACATTATGGTGCATTTAACCATTAATATAACAATCTACGCAATTTTCCAGACATATTTTTGTCAATACTTAAGCTAGATTTTCAAATAAATTTTAATGCGAAATTTGAGCTGAATATACATATACATGTATATGTAATTATGTTTAAAATATCGATTGGCTGGATGAAAACTACAAATATTTGATATTTAAACGTATTTAAAACAATTAGTAATCATATTAATGACAACACTCATTCAAAACATATATTTTGTCATTAGCGGCACTTTTCACCGTATGTTGCTGGTACCACCTGAGTTTATTGGCCTTTCTGAATAATTCACTAATTCACCACAGGTCATTAGCTAGTAATAACATAAGCTAATATTTGTTATGTAATCGCTTAACATGAATGATTTGCGTGTGTGTGTAATAATAACACAAAAATGTTAATACAAGCGAAACTGCAAAACACCAACACAGAGTTTTACTTTAAATTCAGCAAAATAATATTAACAATGCAGATGAATACGACCATATTTCACATATACAAACATACAGATTTTGTTAATAATATGTTGATATTTGCTATTAAATTACTCATAAAATGGTTTTTATTGTATTTGCTTATTTTGTTTGCATTTTGATAGCATGCATTGTAATTTTGATAATTTTCATCAGTTTATTTGCTTTTCTTGATATATTCGAAACAATTAGCTAAACACTTACATATGTTTAATATATGCATATTTTATGTAACATATTGTATGAAAATGTGCATAATTTTAACTGATTGTCTTGAAATGATACGGAAATGATGTAAACTCAACCGATTAAGCATCTCGAAAACAAAATGTTGATGATGCGATTAAGTAGCTTTAGGCAATTATTGACAGCTGAATTTAAATCTTGATGATTGTTTTTTCAACAAAAAAATCAAGCACTTAGAATTGACATTTAACATCATGTTAATTCTTTTTCGACGATCTATGCATTTTCATCATGACAAATCATAAACCATCACCGGTAGCGAATAATTTTGAGTCATTCTATAATAACTCATTAAAAATCATTACCTTAAAACAAAAATAATAAAAATATAAATACTGATTTATTTATTTTTTTCTCAAAATAAAACTCACTTATAGATTACAGCTATTTTATTAAATAACAAATTCCTACATTAAATGGTAATAATAAAATTTAGTTATCGTCTAGTACGCCCTCTTTCATTATTTTTTGCTTTTCATGCGCCTAGCACATTTTATTCTATCCCAAACAAATGTTTGTGCAAGCTTTCAGAGTGGCCGATCAATAATATTTTAAGCTATCAAAAACACCGAACTGTTCTGAGAAACAATAAAATTGAAGTGTGAGCGACTTTTCTCTTAAAATTTGAGAAAGGGAAACAGATCCGTGGAATGCGGTAAATAGGTAAACAGTCATAGTTTTCAAAGATTTCAATCATACTAATCGCTGTGTTACAAACAAACCACATTCTCATTAACGATATGGCCTATAAATATTTAGAGTATTTTTTATCTCAACGTCATTTTATGATCTTCAAAATTATGCTGGGAATTTTACAATAGCATGCTTAGTTTGTTTCAAGAGTTACATCAATTTACTGGCCTTTACCGAGAATACTCGAATTGAATTTTTGCCGACAAATATTAACATAACTTGTAACATATTATCGTTATACTTTAAAATATGTAATGCAAATATCAGTATCGATGATTACAAAAATATATTACAACTACAAGTATTTTTAGAGATTTTCATTTAAGAGGTTAAGCACTCCTTTTTTGTTTGCGAATTCTCATTTCACTACAAATGTTTCAGTTGCTTTACTTAATACTTATATACTTATGTTTTGTATGTAGATAAGTATATAAGCTTGTGTTTAAGCAAATTAATTTTCAAACCGCAAAAAAGGTTAAAAGTAAATCAGAAACAAAAACGCAAGCAAACCTAGAATACTGGTTACTCGAAAATTATAAAATGATATAATTGCAAATATAGCAAATACATGTGAGCACAATAGTGTGTTTGTGTGTGTGTCACTGAGCGTGAATTGGGCGATATTTGCATGCGAAAGCAAAGTTTAACCACAATTTACCATTGTAGATAAACAATTCGACTTTTTTACAATTGGAGCTGCATATTTACACGCCTGGCTTATCCACACAATACGAAAATACCACTGCATGCATAGATGTGTGGGTAATTTCGCTAGTGCAGCCGACCGCACAGCTAGCACTAACACACACATGCGCGTATGATGAATTCAATAGGCATTTCGCAACAGTACGAGTATATTGAATACAGATTTATAACTGTAAAGGGCAAAAAATAAAATAAAACAACAACAAAGATTACATATTGCTAACTGTGGTTAGTTGCAACTAATCTCTGATTTTATTTAAAGCGCTTTTAAAAAGAGAAATAGCCGTAGCAGAAGGGTGTTGTGAAAAAAGTCTGGTTATTGAAACCACTAATTATGCTAATGTCGGTGGGCGTGCATGTGAAACACAAACGAAAACAATATTTTGCACACGCTCAGTGGTGCTGTTGTGAACAAAAAGTGCATGCGAATATTAAAAATTTTGAGGTGAAATATTTTTTAGAATAAAAATTCGAAAACTATGCTGTCATTTCTTAAACAGAAAAGGCTTGAGATAGCTTAAATTGTGTACTAGATTTCTATATATACGCTAGTTATTTTCGGTAAGCAGATTAATTGGTCTAATCTAATTCTGCCTACATTTCAAAATGTTACTAATGTCAAGTAGGAGCCTGTGGTTAAAAAGAGTCTTCAAAGAATTCATTATTATATTTTCGGTTAAAATTTAAAAAATGTCATAGTATTAAATCTGCAAAGGCGCAATATATAAATCTTCGTTTAAACAAAATTTTATTTTTGATTTTTACAGTATTGGGTTTGCAAATAATGCGTTTCAAAAATACTTATTATGGTTTAATCCCAAAATAGTAATTAAAAATTGTTTTCAAATTTTCGCTAGTAAAATATTGTCAAGAAAAATCAGCAGAATTTCAACTAGCTACACTCTAAAGAAATTTTGAAACCTAAAATGTAATAATTTATTAGAATTTAAATTATTTTTCACATTTGTCCAGCAAAGTTTTATTTAAAACTGCTCCACTGTGGCATAGTCGGCAGTTCAAAATAACGAATGTTATCTAAGCCTTGTTGTTGTTAGCATGTTTAGTGTTTTGTTGTTATTATAGCCAAAATAACTATAATAGAATTTAAATTATTGCTTTCGGTTAGCAATTGTTTTACTTTAGAATAACACACCCACACAAATACTTAATTTTTTCGCAATTAAATTTGTGTTGAGTTGAAAATTACGGTGTTGGCTTACGTGGTCGATGTCTGTCTGTCTGTCTGAATGTCGGTTTTGGAGCAAAACAATAATTATTCACTTTAGGAATGTAACTCACTTTGCAGCCCAGCGCAAAGCAGGCGGAAGGTGTGAAGTAGGTAGGGCGGTCGGTTGGGGCGTATGAGTGATATTACAGCTGGAAGTTTTGCATGTGGCGTGTGATAAAACACTTACAAATTGAATTTCATACTTAATTTACATTTAAACAAGCGCGGCGTCGTGACTAACAATTTACGCGCGCAAATCAAATTCGTTGCCTATAACAATTAGTTTAACTTTAACAAAGCAAAAGCAGAGACTTTAAACGCATATTTGGCACACACACCCATGGTGGCCACAATAGGTATGTTGCGAAAGACAAAGCATATTCAATAAAATATGAACATCAAAATGGAAATGTCAAAGAAAACCAAAAACGCACCGAAGAGAATAAAGCAAAAAAGTTGAGGTCTTCTGGAGCACCAATAAGATACGGCCAGTGCCTACACTAAACTGCCAACAGCATACACACCAACACACCAAGTGTGCTGACAGGAGCACCGACGCTTGTACTTCAATAAAAATATGCCACATACAAAAATAAACCAACAACTACAAAAACAACGTAGCACCCACGCATACAAAGAAAGACGCTAGCAGATGAAGAACGCTCTCCCAGCTAAGCGTGCACCATAGCCATAGGCCCACAATCACTTGGCGTGCCTCCACCACCAGTCCACGCGCTGAGCAGAAGCGGCACGTGTTCGCAACGCTTTGTAATTCGCTGGAAACGAAATTGGCTATGACGCAGGCGCTGTACCGGAACTGCCAACAGCTGTCGGCCGCACTGGTGGCTTTGCAAAAAACAAAGCGCTCGCACGAGGCCACGGTCCACACACGAGTCCTCATGCAGCGAGTCAGCTGTAGCATATCACTAAGCGTGTGCTGTTGTTGCGTTAATCGGCCGGTGGCTTTCGGCAGACATTTGTGGCTTGACGGCGTGCAAAATCAAAACAAACGGTATAAGAGAGTGCTGCTCATGTGAAGAGCGCGTAGTGCGAGTGAGCGGCAGTGAAGATTTAGTGAGAGTATGTTGCAGGAGGAGAGCACTCAAGAATGTATATGAGTATAGCGCGCTTTCAGGCGCACAATAGTGGGAAATGCGAAACGTGTTTAAAAAACCCATTTATTTCTTTGTAGTTGCCTGCCGCGCTGTGGGTTTACTGCTGTGTGTGCGATTTGTTGTGCTTTGTCGGCGTCGACTGGCAATGAAAAATTCAGTTTGATGTTGCTCGCACGACCAAAAGGACATGCGAAACGGAAGTCACGACGAAGCGCGACAGCTGTACGTACGAGCGCGCGCGGGATATAAACTGTTTATATTAAAGAATATATAGATATATAAATAATTTATATAATTTTTTTATGATAAAAAAAATACTAGTTGTGTAAGTGTGTAATTAAAGATAGTAAAAAAAACTAAATATTTCCTAAAACAGTGCGAAACTTCGCATGACCACAATTAACCACAGCTTTGCGCGCAGGCGGCAGCACAATTTACTGTTGGTCGAAAGTGTGGTCGCTCAACGCCGGTGCAGCACATCTGCTACTGTGGGTACACAGTAAACTCGCAGCAGCCGGCGACCAGCTGCAACAACAACCGCTGAGCTTACAACACTGTACAGTTATGGCTCAAAGCAAGGCAGCCACTAAAAATAGTAAAGGAAAGTTTAAATAGTGTTTTCCGACAAAACGGCGCAAGAAGACTCCCTGTAAAAAGCAGTGCAATCAAACGTGTGCAAATAAGTGGCGCACAGAACATACAAAGGAAATAGCGGAAATAAGAAAAAACGCTGCCGAAATTGTTGACTATGGCGCGAGAGTCGCCACAAATTCTCTAGACAACGTGCCACAGCTGTGCAACAACACAAAATATCAAAAAAGAAAGAAAAAAACGAATGTGTGAAATTATTGGCGGAAATGAAGCATGCAACTTGTGTCCATTACTGGCATTGCCTGATGGAAACAGTCATACAGCAGTCAATAGCCAACAGCCAACAACAGTCGTTGCGACATAAACGAGACTATCAGTAGCAGCTACAGCATCAAGAGCAACGACAGCTTAGCTCATCCGTTTCTCAACGCCACCTCTACCAGCATAGACACAGACACGTTTGAAGCCAGAGATACAGCTTTGCCACCTTCTCACTGCGCTTCAGTGCAACGGCCAAGAGCCACAGTCTACACCCGGCAGCGCGCCACATCAAAGTGTCGAGGAAGCGAGTAGAGGAAATTAAAATTTGCATGTGAAAGGAGCTGTATTCTCGTATTGCCTGGCATTCGCTTACAACTCTGGCTGCGCTTTCGGCGCACAGCGCTTAAAACGTGTGGATTTGTTCCTATTGCCAAGGCGAAAAAATAAGGCCGAGAATTTCACACTCACAACGGCGATGGCCGCCCGGCTTTAGTGCGCTTTTTATGTGTGGCGTCACAGCGATGAGCAAAAAATACACGCAATAAGCAAAGGCGTTGGCTTTCGAAGTGGAAAAAATTGTGTAAACAACAACAAGTACAAATAGAACGGGAAAACACTTGGCGGAAATCAACACCATTGCTAACTGCAATTTCAATTTCTGTGCGACGCCACAATGCCGACGTAGGCAATCTTGTTTGCCCTGCAGCCACCGGAGGCGCAGAAAGCGTTAAGTGAAAAGTGAAGAGTGAAAAGTGTTGGGTGCTGAGTGATAAGTGAATAGTGCTTTTCTATTACCGCATTCTCGCAAAAAAAAACCGCGTTATTTCGTGTGTGTGCGTGAGTGTTTTTTAACGGTAAATACAATACACGTGCACGCCTAGACCGCAAAAGTGACGACGCTGTGTGTGGCACTAATTACGCAGATACTCTCAAATGTGGCAGTCGTGTGGCTTGTAGAATCGACAAAGTACTCTCGGTGGCCTGCTGCCACCCTCAATCTTGCATGTGGCAAGTAAATGTCACTATGCTTCATCGTTCTTGAGCGTCACTGTCACTGCCACAAAAGATAACAACGCCGGCTAGCAAACAATAACAAAATTAAACAAGCTACAACGTGGCACGAACTGGAGCAGTGGTACATGCCACATGAATGAATTCCAACATTTATCCGTACCAACTTCAGCTTAGACTTTTTGCATAAGAACCAACCGAGCAAGCAATCGAACAAGCACGCGTGCAGGCCATGCCACATGCGGCATGCAGCTGCCACTGCTGAAGCAGCAACTATTACTCAACTCTAATATCAAGTGCTATTTGTAGTGGCATCAATATAGCCGAAGTTATTGCCAGAACCCACCGCATCGTTAGCGTGCAGCGCCGACTGTAGCACAAGCAACAGCATGCTGTCAGCAGCGTCCGCCTCGGCGCCTTCATGCGTCTCTGGGTTTATCGCTTATTCAGCAATCGTTTTGCTTTGCACTTCCGGTAAGTGAAATTCACTCAGCCACATGCTCATGTAATCATTGCAGGGGCACACAAACACACTCACACACCACAAGCACACTTGAATTTTATGCAACACAATCTAAAATAGAAGAAAAGCTCTTGCAGCAAAGATGAGCACTGCAGCATCGCAGCTGCCAGCCAAGCGCCTCGTTTGTATTGGCTTTGCGCTGCCACATGCGGTTTCAGTTGTGCTGAAATGCGTCCAACCATGCAGTGCGCCTTGAAGTATGCTGCACTTTTTACTTTTATTCTTTCATACGCTCCATTCTTCGCTACAATTCTTTGATTGCCATGTCGCATTACACCGTTCGAATGCAGAGCTGCATATACAAGTCAGCGCGGCCCTCTTTCGATTTGTTCTCGAACTTGAATTTGTATTGAATGTTTATATGCAAATAGATTATTTCAAGAGCACGAAGGATGTTCAGTTAAGTAAAATAGTGCATGGTTTCTAGACCTGAAAGGCATTCCAAACAGTTTGAGCCTTCGTGCTTTGAAGGTAAAAACGAAAACGAATATACTTCTAAAATTTTTTCGAATTTTTTGAATATAACGGACTAGATTTCTATAGCCTGTGAACATTGCAATTTAGATGGCTATCGGTTAAAGGATAATAAGAAGTTCAGTTTGCAGATAATCCTTAATTCAGAGAACACATCCTTAATTCAGAGAAATTTACCCTATGCTAACGTTTATTGCATTCAAAATTCGATAAAAAGTCTAAACTTAGCTTTGCTGTAACAAAAGTCTTGTTTCGGTTGTCAGTTGATTATTTAAATGGTTATGTAGAATGCTTCTAAAATGGTAGTTCTTGGCCGGATATGATTCCGAATCTACTCGGTTATATAAACGCGACTGTAGTAGGAAATGAGCAACAAATGAAGTCTAAGGTTTTACTTCAGAGTAACATTAAACTCATACAAATGGAAAATTCTACATATCCCTTTATGGCCTGCACGCGTCCTCTAAGGAACTTTACTAGCTGGATTGATATCTAATATCTATATAAACGTACTATCTTTTCCGTTAAATACATAATTTAGTGCAAGTGACGAAGTGATCAGCTGAGTTCATTTGGTCCTGCAAAGTGATCGCCAAACTGAATCTAAAGTTATTATACAAATACTTTTTACAAACACCATATATGGCAACGTTATTTGCAACAGCGTACACATAACGTATCTTTTGCGTGCAACATTTTCATTTACTATGCCACATATGATTTTTAGCTCACATCCATTTTGACATTTCGTCTTTTTTCAGGTCCGTTTTATGTGAAGCAAGTATCTTGCAAGCCCCTTACACATATGTGGTTTTTGTTGCTGTAGTTGGATCGTACATTTTACTATTACTACAGCGGCTATATACTCATTCTCAATTGTACATTTGCATCATTCTGCGGCTGCCTCTGAAGAAGAGTAGAAGCGCAGCAGAAATGAAGCTATAACTTTGTACACGCTCCGTAGACCAACTTCCAGACTCCGCTTCGTCAATTTTACTGCCATTCAATGCGTTCACTGCTCCGCCAACTGCTTTTCACTCCTCGCTTTCATTTATGTATTTCCTGTATTATGAGCTATTCAGCGCAAAGAATAGACCAAAAGGTTTCTTCTCATCTTCCGCTACTTTCATTACCGGCAAAGGCATCGGATTACACGAGTAAACTCACGTGCATACCTACATGCATATAAATGTATATACATCTCTGTGAAAATTATTACTCATATTTGCTCGCTAGTCCACATTTTCACATTTATGTAGTCAATGGCAAGCAACACTACATAATTCTACTTCAGTACCAGCCCTGTAGGGCAATGAAGAACTTCTTCAAATCTGGTTTGAGGCAAAAGAGCTTGTCTCTAGTTGGTAGTCTTACTCTTTTCCATGTAAGTAACTATCACATTGATATTGAAAGATTTGAGGATGTGCCAAGCTTTGTATGTCATTTCTGAAACTAGTTGCAAAATAGTACAAGATAGTAAAAAGAAATATCTGCAGTGTTCAAAAAATTTAAGAACTCTATTCATTGTTTCGTTTACGCTAAATTTGTACTACGTTAAGCAGTGACGAACTGATAAAATTGCAGTCGAATTGGCCTACTTCTAAGCTGCAATTCGGTCTGCGCTTTCCTGCAGGATGCCTTCGGCATGCTCTTGGATATGTGCATAGCTTCACATTCAATGTTTGCACGTTTACAACAAGTTAGTAGTGTTTCTTTACAGATTAGTCCGATTAGTTTCTGTTGGTATTTATTCGCCGGTAATGCTATTGTCTTTGTATGTTTCTGTTCATGAAACAATACGTATTTCTATCGCCGTATAAAAATAGTAAAACTCAGCACATTTACGAATATATTGCTTATTTAGTCATTTCTAAAATTTGTATGTGTGAAAACGGAAATTAATTGAGCTGCCATTTTCTTGAAAAAAAATCTGATATTTTTAATTCAATGCTCGAAATTTATCGGAAAGCGAATTTTTTAGTATTTAAGCAAAGAAAATCTTAAGTGAAATCTTTTCGAAAATATCGGCAAGCTTTTGAAGTACTTGCTCGATTAGAATATTCTAAATAATATGCAAAGTTTGGTGAAAATCTTGATTTGATAAACTCGATACATGTTAGTTATCATTAAACTTATAGAGTGGCGAATAGAACACACACACCTGGCATAAATAGATTAAACTGAAAGAAACAGAAAAGTTGTTACATAGGATAGAATGAGGTATAACCCCTTTATAAAAAGCCATTTACTATCTCGTATTGAACTCAACTGGAGAAAGCACTTGAGCAAAAAGCAGGACTCAAACTTAGCGTACAAAGGAGTACTAAACTGGAAAGAGATAATGTAAAGCTACGCAAAATAAATTACAAAAAGTTGAATTATAAACCCAAATTAAACCAAATTTATTATAAAATTTTGTTTTTATACTTTGAAAATGAATTTAAATTGATTCATGCAACATAATACTATGGCATCATGGGGGGATTTGCTATTTTGAGTAAATAACTCTAAAAGAACGATTAAATGGTGACAAAGAACACTTGTGAAACCATTAGTTAAAACTCTATGTTAAAATTAAAAAAGAAATCTTTTCAGACTCAAACTGCAGAGAAAAATCAACTATTTGTTAAAACTTTCAAATTCCTGGCGGTTCAGTTATTTAATACTTATCTGTGACTTTTCATACAGCCCTGTTTGAAATCTAAGTACTTTGTTTTCTTTATGCTGCACTTTAATATCAACTTTTCTTTACTCTTAAATAGTTGACTTACAAAGCTTCACTACAAGCAAAAAGAAACCGAGGCAAATAAAAAATACCAATTAAATATATTTGTAAGATATTTTTGGAAACCTGCATAATAAAAAATTTATTTACAAATGCCTTGCAATGGATTAGTTTGTTGTTGCTGTAAAGGTCAGATGTTAATCTCCATAAATGCTTTTTCAAAATTCACAGAAGCTTTGATAGATTTTATTTTTGAAAGTTGATCTTCAGACTGAAACTAGAAATATGACTACAGTATAACATTATATAGTAAGTATACATATCCATATGTGCATATGTATGTATATGCGTATGTATATCTTTATATGCCGCATATATTTTAATATATTATTTATATTTTCTGCAATTAAACGCCTTCAATTTAAGAACATCACACCGCTGCACACACGTTTGCTTTAACCATTTCAAACTTATCTTTTATTATTAAACGCCTTTACACTTAATTTACGCATTTCAATTTGTTTATGTTTCTTACTCAGGTATTCCTTTTTAATGACTCTTAATTGATTACAAATAAATCATAAGTACTGCGGCTTTAGGAATACTTAATTTTATAGTGGTTACATTACAATACTGCCATGTCTAAATTATTTAATTACACTGGTCTGCAAAACAAAATTTTATTTCTGCTCTTTGTTTTCATGCATTTCATGAGTTGATCATAATTTTTGCTCTAAACAAGAAATTTAACAAACAAGTAAGTGCAGCAGAGATCTGGGGAACTTCTCGCCTTAAGCAAAATTCATCTCGCCGCTATTGTAGGATTTCTCACTAGACACTGTCTAATGAGATCTCATGTGGTACGGCTAAAATATGCCCGATGTTAGTTGTCAAATTTTTATGGAGGAGGATGAGGTGGAAACACCCAGACACTTTCTCCTCCACTGTCAGGCTTTTGCAAGGCTGAGAAATATCATTAAAATATCTCACCACTGATCGATTCCATTGGAGTATCTCGGCGAATCGACGAAAGAAAATCAGAAAGTATTGCTGCTGACTATTACTCACTGAAGCGTTGTTCAAATTGCATAATTTGCTGATGAAACCTTTCACTATGCATACTGTTACGTGCCCAAGATTTTCATCTTGAAATCTATTTAAGTGATGCTCAAGCTTTATAAGCAGAAAGAAGGTCTCTTCGAAGCACCAATAACAAGGGTTAACATCAATTGTGCATGCTAATCATAATTAGTCTTATTTTTTTTATTCTGCTCTGAAGCAGAGAGTTTTCGTTTTTAAAAACCGGTGGCTTGAGATGATTCTTACCCAGTAAGAGTCAAGCTGATGTGCTACCGCGAAATTGATTTAATCCGATTAAATTTATGTTCCATAGCCAATTCAATATCTGAAAAACTCTCATATGACATTCTTAAAGCCTTAAAGACACGAAAAAAGTGAGCCGAGAAATGTTACTCCATATTTATCCGCGTAATCGCTTGAGCTATACAAATAACAGTGAAAGCCGTTATGTAGTTCAAGAGTTCAGCGAACACACAAATCCCATACACACACACACACGCACGCGCACTGAAGATTACACAACGAAATAGAAAACCATTAAAAGACAATGCATATGTAAGCGGTGCAACTCCAGCCACATGGGCTCACCTAAAAAGACTGCGAACAATAGCCAAAGGACAAATGTTTAATTTTTATGACAAATATACAAATATACAGTGTGCATGCATTGTT